TCTTCCTGGAACAACTGGAAAGTGCATTAGGAGCAACACAATCTTAGAAGGATGAGATTTTCAGAGTCACCAAAAGCCCTACATTGGAGTCTAGTAACTATACTTTCTCTCCATAGACGTGAAAACCTAAGTGTAACCTTTATTCCTCCAGTGGAGATGACAACATGTTTGTTAAATTTGAAATATATAAAATAATCAGTTAAATTTGTTTTGAATCAAGTATGACAAAAAAAAAACCAGTTGATTTACTTTCCAAATGGCTATTATGGCTCTGTAGAGACTTGGGTCTTATGTCCTATTTTCCCAGAATTTACTACTTAAGATTTAATCCAAAGATTTAGTCTAAGCTCAAGGGTAAAAAAAGACCAGCTTAATGGCCAAGAGCTCAGGAAGCTTCATATCTTGTGCTTGTGAATTAAATGTGAAGAAAACAATAAAACCATGAAGAGTGAGGCAGATGGGAAAAATGAAAACTGGATTGGGAAGTGGGATACCAAAGATTTGTCCTAAGCTCTGCCGCTAATTAATTAACTGTGTGAATTTAGTTTCCTCAGTAAGATTTAGGAGTTAGATTAAGGTCTTTTCCAGCTTTGACCATTTTATAAAGAAACTATATTCATGTGTTTATCACTTTATTTCTGTTGTTGTTCACTTGTTCAGTTGAATCCAAATCTTTGTGACCCTGTGGATGCCAGTGCTGTCCATGGGGTTTTCTGGGCAAAGATAATGGTGTAGTTTGTCATTTCCCTCTCCAGTGGATTAAGATAAACAGAGGTTCAGTGGGGGTCATACAGCTAGTAAGTGTCGAAGGCCAAATTTGAACTCAGGTCTTCCTACTCCAGGTCCAACACTCTATCCACTGAACTACCTAACTGCCTCCAGTATTTCTTCTCAGTATACTAATCTCTGAGCTAGCTTTTTATTTCCATTAATAACATAGAAATAGTAGAGTATTTTCAATCTTTGAGCATTGATATGCATGAGCTAAATCTTCTTTAATGGCACTAACTTTTCTACTTTTATGGCACTACCTTTTCTTTTATGGAATTTGGGTGGATTTGTCAACTCTTCCACTATATTATAAAATCAGGAATGTTAAAAAGGACAGATGCTGTCTTATTAGATTTTGTACACTCATAATACCTAACACCATGATTCCATTCAGTAGGTACTCAATAAAAATTCATCAAATAAACTAAAGCCTGATGCTCCTTATTCCAAGTATATTCTAATTCTTTCCCCAAATGGATGAGAGTTAATGTTTTCATCTGAAATAGATATTAATATTTTGGAAAGTGAAGATATCTTAAATTTAAAGAAACTGATTGTAATCTTGTTTTAGTCATATATTTCTGATGCCCTTCTGTAAGTAGGCAAGATTTAAAATAAGCCTCTGAACTACATAATTCTATCAAGAGAACTGGCTAAATGGTGAAATGATTTCAAATTGAAAAGAAAAGGACTAAGTGATGACCAAATTAAAAATGTCTGAATTCATAAACATAACAAACAAATGAGTTAATGCTAAATAATGCATCCATGAAAATACCCTAATACTGTTCTGATAAATAACTTTTTTTACTTAAGTAAGAAGGAGAATAAAACAAGGCACAGTTTTTGGAAAAGAAAATGAAACATTGAAGTACCCACCTATTTATTATTAGATATACACGACCATTGACTTTGGCATGGCTATAAGGTGAGAGACGGAAGCACAAGAGTACATGCGATGGCAATGGGAAACAAGTTAAAGAGAGAAAGAGGAAATTATTAAACAGGAATGAATGAAGGAGTTTCTTACAGAGGCATATACAGAGATAGATTATTATGAATATTATCACTATGAAGCTGACAGTTCTGAAAGTTTCTCTGTCATACAGTGAAAAAATGTCGGCAGCATAATACAGGAGCAATACAGAGATCAAAAATATGGCTAAAGCAAAAATATGTAAGAAACAAGAGGCCTAATTTTTATTTGCCTCTTTTTATTTTTGGCCCCCCCAATCATACTTTATTAAAATTCTTCAAGTTTTAACTTCTATCATATATTTGTGAATGAAAATAAAACTTTTAAAATATCAGTTCCTTCCTCTGGACCAAAAATACTTAACTAACCATGCTCAGGCATACATCTGACATTTCTCAATGTATATATAAAAGTGCGTGTGTGTATGTGTGTGTGTGTGTGTGTGTGTATGTGTTTACTTATGTGGGCCACTCAATGTTAAAATGTATAACATCAACTTCATGCAGATAGAGAAAGATATAGGTAGACATATGTCTAGATGCATACATCTAGATAGATATGTAGACATCAATTTCATACAGATAGATGTACTAGATAAATACATGTTATGTACACCTTTAAAAAATCATGTCATCTTAGCTAAGTCAGTGAAAGGCAGACGGGCCCAATTCTAAGAGCTGTATGTATGTATGTATGTATGTGGAGTCTGCTTTACTTAGCAGCTAATGTGACTATTCACAAAAATATGAATTTTATACATTTTCATATATATTCTATGCAAAAATGATATGTTAAACAGGTAGAAAGTAGCTGGCTTTTAAAATAGCAAACAGCAGTGGAGAAATTAACATAATTCATGCTTTTTTAAAAACAGATCATTCTTGTTAATTACTCTTCTTGTATTCCACGAAGGCAGAATCAGAAAAAAATCATAGAAGTTGTTAAAACCAAACCCTTAAACACTCTCCTTCTCTGAGTCATTAAAATGTTTAAAAATACATTTCTTGGTATGAACCATTAGAAAAAGAAATAAATTTGGAGGTGTAAGATTAATGATGTCTTAAAAATGCTTCCAGAGGCATTTAGGTGGTCCAGTGGATAGAACACTGAGCTTGGAGTCAGGAAGAACTGAGTTCAAATTTGGCCTTAGATACTTAATAGTTGTGTGACTGTGGGCAAGCTAAAACCTCAGTTAGCTCAATTTCCACATCTGTAAAATGGAGATAATAATAACACCTATCTTCTGCAGTTGTGAGAATCAACTGAGATAATAATTGTAAAGCCCTAAGTTTTAACAGTACCTGGTACAAAGTAAGTGTTACCCATCATTATTGTTATAATTAATTACCTAAAAGCAGTTCTAAGTATATGATCTATAATAACAATTAAAATGGTTGAACCTATTAAGCCACTCGAGCAGTGGATTTTTACACTTACTTATGATAATAAAATGATAGTCTTGTTCTTTGTTATTTTTAATACTGCATCCATTTCCCACCCTTTGAGGGCATTTTTATAAGAACAGAAATGATCATCCCTCTTGATAGAACTCTACTGACTACCTGAGGTAACCCTTGCTGGTTTCTCACTTTAACATTTCGATGACAAAGAGATTTTTAAGCCAGAGCTTAGAGTTGTCAGTGCTTTGAAGAGGAGAAGTAATGGATTTCTATTTTCACATGAAAAAGTGAATATTTGGCCCATCTTTCATCATGGTCATGCAGTGGCTTGAAGGATATTGAGGGAGCCAACTCAGGAAGAAGAGAAAGCAGCACTAGAGTCTTGGCACCAGCAGAGGTTTTGATGGCAGTAATCCAAATTGTATAATCAAACCCACACTGTGCACACTGCTGTGATCCTTTCAAGAAAGAAGCCTGAGTTGAAACAATAGACTTTCCACACGCTTTACAAGCCCTAAGAATTAACACCACTGCTGGCCGTTCAGTTAGTAGGTTAGTACACAGCTTATATGTGCATGGTCATGGATTTGAGTTGTGCTTGTATGGGTAGCATACAGTCTACTACTGTGGCCTGTTTTGCAAAGGAAGAGGCAGGTCATGTGACAAAAATACCATCTCCAGAATCTTCTCTTCTGTGCTTAAATAAAGGATCTTAAAAGAGAAATACTCAAGGAAGGGAAGCAAAAAAAAAAAATTAGGGGAAAAAAGACACTGGTAGAAATTTATTGACATTAGTTGCCTTTCACCAAAAGCTACTTATACGCTATCCAAGAGACCCATCTTGATTATTTTAATGTAATCTCTGTATCTGAAAGTGAGGTGACAACACCCAAGTTCATATAACATCTTACATACTCAGAACCACCCGTGATGCCATACTAAAATTAGAAGTACTTTGCTCTTGCACTGTCAGTAAAAGCCAAATGCAAATAAACTTTTTAAAATTACAGTAAAGTCTTGTGTCCAACTAAAAATCTAAAGATGACTTCCTGTTGTCAGTCAGTATAATTCTGAATTATTTGTCCCAGGGACCCCAACTTTAATTGAAGAGGTACCTTTGCTTTTTCCAATTATACACACACACACACACACACACACACACACACACACACACACACACTGATTTAGTATTTGGCAACTAGATTATAAACTGCTCTTTAGGGACGGCTGCCAACCATACACCTCCTTCTACTGGGATTCCTCATGAGTTTCAGAGAGTGGTAGGTACTGCTGGCCCATGGCCTGGAGATCCACCAGTACGGCTTCAACATCAATAAGGAGATTATGATAGACTGGTTAGAGAATCCTGAACTACTCAAACCTGAACTATTCATTGGTGTGTGCTCAGGGAAAGAAAAATGAATTTAATTCTTATTGGCAAAATATGATTAGGAAGATGCAAAATGTTTAAAAATAAAGTTATATAATATTTTAAAAAGTTAATTATAAAGTATGCTGGAGTTTATACTGCTCCTGTCTAATAGAAAACACATCTGTCTAAGTATACATAAAACAACAGCTGTCTATACAGCTATTATGCAGTGAACATGATCTCTTACATTGGAACATCTACCTATATATTTGTGCCAAAGTTAGTTAATATTCAGTTCAAGAGAGGTCAGTCAAAAATTTTACATTTCTTCATTTTTTTCTTCCTTTCTTTGATTGGACTGGCAGGTATGCAAAATCCAAGGTTTAGGCTAACTATGGAATCATAGGCTTGACAAATAATCTTCCTTTAAGGTAACCTTTAAGGTCCTTCGGAAGAACAACTACCCATTTTATTTGTTTACCTGTAGATGGTGTTGTCCTCTTTGCTGGGTATAGACTTTAGGTCTGTGAGCTCCAGGAAGTGGTCATGAAAATAATGAAGGTGTAATATACACACCAGCAAGAAGGAAGTTGGGATAAATATGCGAGTAAATAGCTCTGTAATAGTAAACTTCTTCAAACCAAGATCTTCTAGCCTGAAAAGAAAACCAGTATTCCATTCAGCCATTGAAAATGCACACTGCAGAACTTTTTAGAGATTTTATATATGTAAACACACATATATGTTCATGAATTTATGACTGTGCCTTTCCATATATAATTTATGTATTACATTTTGAAATTCTTGGTAAAAGGAATACAGAAAATATTGCTGTTAGATCCCTCACTTGTATTTATCATCCCTCTTACATATGACTGGAAAGACATACAGTAGATCACTATGACAAGCTACTGTCATTTCTTAATATTCAACTTTGGAAAAACTCTTCCAGTTACTAATTACCATATTGACTTTACTCTATACATTGTTCTGATTCTCTTCACTACAACTACACACACACACACACACGCGCGCGCGCACATACACATACATACACAGATTTAAACATTCACTTCTAGTGAAGTAAAGGAAAGTTCAGGTAAGATTAGAAGCCTATGTATATTTTCAAAAATGTCGACCTCTAAGCAACATCTAGAATCTTGTAGACATGTCATAAAAATATCAGTGAGACATATCATGTGCCCCAGCTGGATATGGAGGCAGGTTTCTATCTGGTGCTCCCCAAACTTAGGGGAGGCTTTCCTATATACATTTGTAAAAATGTCTTCTCTGCAGGCTGTATATTAAAGAATCAGGCCTCTATTGTTTAGTAAGAAAAATTTTGGGAGAAAGATATAAATGAGGAAATATTCCTTGTGTAAATGTAATTGGCTAAGATAATATTTTGCCAAGTCACAGTTTGCTTAGGTAAAACAAAATCATTCATGTTTCTGGTTCTAAAAATTAGGGCAGAAATTTCACCACAATTCTTTATTTTTAATACAAACATTAAAAAATGCTTTCAAATGATGTAGATCTTGATTACAGCCACTACTCTGATAACCCAAAGAAAACTAAACATACTCACTTTTTTTGATTCAATCCTGTCATATTCTCCCATAGGCCTGGGAAATTTTCAAACTGATATGTGTATATGAAGATAAGCACCAGCATAGTGTAAATAACTACTGACATCCAAAAATATTTTAGTATCTTCCTCCACCATTCATAGTGGACCTGGGAATCAGACATTGCAAAAGAATAAAGAAAGGCTACAGAATGATTGATGTAGCAAATCTGTTTAGCTAATACGTAAAACTGGGTATATGGACTTTTTGGGGGGAAATTACAGTATCAGGTTACCAACTCTGTATACAATATGTATGGAAATGTGTGTGTGTATGTGTGTGCATGTGTAGAAATCAGATCTCTTTCCATTTGTATACAGGTGGCTTCAAAGCTCTGAGATATGGGGTTAATACGGCTTTATCATAAAAACGTTGATACTTATTTGAGAAATCAACTAAATTTTGAAGAAATTAAAATTTGTGGTTATTTCAATTGAATAATTTTTCTTTCTTCATATGGTGAGCTCATATTTGTCTGCATTTTAATGAACTTTCTTGTGGATCAGCTGCATTAGTATTTTGATACTACACTGGCTGCTGTCATAGTTGTCTTGCTCTGTCCACTACAATAAGAAAAACACTAACTGGAGTTTGAAGACTCATCTCCAGAGCTCACTATCTGTGTTACTCTGGGCAAGTCACTTAACCCCCCTGGGCTTCAGTTTCCTCATTCACAAAATGGAAGGTTGAATTTGATGGCCTCTAAGGTTCCTTCCTTCTCTAAGTCTCTGACCTTATGAGATTACAAATTCATTGGAGTATTATCTTTTAATTCTATTATTTGAAGTCTTCTATAAGTTTAATGAAAATAAGCCTTTTCATTAATGCTTTTACTAATGTAATGATCCAATATTATACCAATGCAATGGGATTTTGCTTTTCCCTCCCCCCCCACCCAAACCTGGGCCTTTGATTTTATTGGTATAGAAAACTCCCAGATAAGGAAACTCTTTCTACTAGTGGAGTACCTTCTCCCCAACATACAGTCTTAGAGCTGCCTATAGCACTGAAAGGTTGCCTAGAATCATACGGCCAATATCTGCCAGAGGCAGGATTTGAACCCAGTTCTTCGTAGTTCTGAAGTAAGTTCTTTATACACTAGGACAGCTTTTTTCCTTTTAAAAGTTATTTCATTTGTTGCTTCTGGACTTAGTTAGACCTAGGTTCAAATCATTTCTCTGACACTTATAACTTTGTGACCTAGGCAAATCACCTAGTCTCTGAACCTTATTTTTCTCACTTACAAAACTGTACTAATCCTTGATGTTATATTCACCTCTTTAGGCTATTGGAAGGCTCAAATGAGATTAAGTTTTAAAGGGCTTTGCAAACTTTAAAGGACTAGATGTCAGTTACTTTTGGTTGGCATAGAATCTAGGGAATGCAACCTGTGTTTAGTAAGCAAAACATATAATTATAAAAAGTCGTTTCTGGGATCCAAAATCCAAACATAAATGCCCCAGAGGAAGCACTTAGTACTTTAGAATATCTATGCTATTACAGTGAACTTTAAATTGGAATAAGTGAATTCTAAATTAGGTAGAAACCTTGCTTAAAAATAAAAACTGAATTTAAATAATTATTTAAATATTACATATTGGCTTCAAAGATCCAAGATTTTGTGAATTTGAGTGCCTCTTTCACAATGTAGACTCCAACTCTCTATATCTTAGTAAATGGTCTTTGAAAGTTACAATGGCTGAAAAATTTATTCCCCTGTGGCCAACTTGGTGACAAGGTTCTCTGAACTTAGCTCAGTTCATCTTCTGTTGCAGACGCTTAGTCCATCACCATGTTACATGCAATACATTTTTAGCTTAGTAGAATATGTAAGAGCTTCTGCTCTGCTTGTGTAATCTATACAACTTCATTATCCCCTTCATGCCATGATGAAGCATTAGAGGAGGAGAAACTTTATGAGCATTCATTTTTAAAAAGCCAAATACTCCCATACCCTAATTTTGAAGAACTGAATCAACTCAAAGAAATAGTTTCAAATTCTAGGGCTCAATAGGAGTGAACGTTATCATCTGCCATCATACTCTTCATCCCCTTCTTCACTCAATCCATCTATTCTAGAGACTGATACATGACAATTATTCGAATGAATCTCTTAGAATCTATATGAAGTACACAGTATGGTTTGCCTTTTACATACCTGATACAAGGCCACACAAAACAGGAAGAGCACCATGTAGATGATTTTGTACATTACGATTGTACCCTCAAAGCTGACAAAGAAGAACATTCCTCCACAAACGTAAATCCAATATTTAATGAACATGGCCATCACCAAATTTCCCATCGCTTTCATGATGTCCTGGTCATCATCATCTTCATCATGATCTTCTTCTTTCTTGCTTTCCTGCTTTTTTATCTTTCCTTTATCTTCTTCCTTTTCCTTGGCCTCTTCTTCCACTTGCACGTCTTGTAGTTCATCATCTTCCAAAACAGAAAACTTACGTTTTTACTGTTTGCTTGTAGTACAATTATAATTACACTTGGAAAAAATGCAATTTAAATTTTTTCTGGGGTCCTGTACCTTTTTTCTCAAGTTCAACACTTAGGTCATAGTCAATTTAAGCACCTGTGATGAAATGTGTGATTTTGATAATCCAGCTGATGTGGTAGAGCAGAGTTAACAGACTTGAGTTTGAATCCTGTCTTTAACAATTACTACCTGTGTGACTATGATCAAGTCACTTAACCTGAATGGGCCTTATTTACTCCCATACCCTAATTTTGATTAAAGGAAGGTTCCTCATTTATAAGATAAGGGAGGTGAACAAGAGGATCTTTAATGTTCCTTCCAGCTCCATACCCTACAATACTATTCAAACAATTGGCTGATTCATGAATGCAACAATATTATACCAATTATTGGGCTGACTTGACCAATTTATTATGTTATTGTTACTGCTTAATCAAATAAAAATATCTAATCTGACAATCCTGCAGAAACATAAATAATATTCACCTAGAGGCCAGAAGGTGAACATATAACTTTTTTGTTCTTGTTTAGTCGTTTCGGTTGTGTGTGACTCTTTGTGACCCCATTTGAGTTTCCTTGGTAAAGATAGTATAGTGGTTTGCCATTTCCTTCTCCAGTTCATTTTATAAATGAGGAAACTGAGGCAAACAGGATTGAAAACTTGTCCAGGGTCACACGGCTAGCAAGTATCTGAGGCCAGATTTGAATTCAGGAAAATGTCTTCCTGACTCTAGGCCTGGAACTCTACCCACTGTACCACCTAGCTGGTGTTGATGTTGAAAAAAAAAAGTTTCCATTACTGGAGCTAAAAGGAAAACTCTAATAATGATCAGTCTTTCCCCAGGAAAGAATAATAATTTTGAAAACAAAACAGTCTGCTATTACATGTACTGATATTTCTTACTAAAGATTATGTATTTCCCTTTACCCCTCAAAAGGAATTAAACTCCTGTGATCAGAGAATGTAGAAAATATTATTCCATCTCTTTTCTCATACTAAGACAGTGAATTAAAATTAGACGGTGAGCTGGTGATGATGGGTGTAGTACAGAATATCCTCTTGGTTTTCTAATTCATTACTGATTCCCCATTATAAATCCCTTTTCTAAATAATTAACAGACAATTATCATGTGCTAACTATGCACATGGCACTGTACCTAATGTTGGGCATAAGACATGAACAATAACATAGCCTTTGCCCTCAAGGAGTTTACACTTAGGTATGCAGAGGACACTTTACACATTTTACCTTTTTCCTCATCTTCCTGGCTTCCAATTTTGACCTCAGATAAAAGAGCTTCCTTTAATCGAAGAGCTTTTTGCTCTGTGAGGTGCTGTCTTAGCAGCAGCCAGAAAGTAATGGTGAAAAGAATCTGAAAGCAGAAAGCAAACTCATTAACCATTTAAAATGTAAGTAATAATGTAACAAATCGACTATTCTTAAAACTTCTCACTCCTAAGGTGGGGGTGAGGGTGGCGGTGGGTGATGAGAAAAGCAAGTAGAGTATGTCATTTGAGGTGGAGTCAGTTATCCATTTTATTTCATCAGAAAGAAGTTTGCTTTTCGATTCCCTTTCATAAAAATGCCGGCATACACTTAGTGAGTGCCAGTAATGTACCCTGTATTGTAAGAGACCCTGAAGAAGAGTGATGATGATGCATTATCTGTGCAGTGACTGCACATTCTAAATTGCTTCCATCTGGGCAGGAAATCAACTTTTCAACAAGTGTTCTCCCTCAAGATGCTTGTCCTTGGTTGATTTCCTGTCCTCATTATGGCATTGTTACTATTTTTAAATAAGAATAGGCTCCTCTTTTTAAATCTTGCAATGTCCATTATAGACAGGAAGGAAAATGCATCACAGAAAATAAAACCCATTATTATTTCAATTATCATCCCAAAGAAGAAATAAGAAAAAAAATCCCAGTTGAGAGCTAGGACAATCACATTTTTATAACTGATTTTTAAGTGTTAGGGAGAAAAATTTTAATTAATACTGTGATGACTTATGAGAACTGCCTTCCTGACAAAGCCTATATCCTTTTTCATCTTGATGTCAGTGTTCATAGAGAGTAAATCCATCTAATAAATCTTCCCATGGATGTTTTTTGGGATATTTATTATTTTCCCCTACTAAACATAAGCTTAACATAACATTCCCACTTATCTGGAAGTCGGGCTTCTCAGCAAACTCAAATATATGAGACACTAACAAATCTAGAAGTCTCAGAGTCACTGAGTGTTTAGGAAAATGGCAGTCACAAATCTATATGCACTTTATTTTATTCTAAAGGAATGCAATTACCTTTAGATCAGAGCCTTACAATCTTAGTATTGCATAAAAATTAAATCCAGAATTGCTGGTCACCCTAAGCACACAATTATTCTTCCATCATGTAACTTTCTTTGCCAGGTTTCTGTAGATGTGTACCTACTCTTCACCATTGATACAAGTATAGTGGTGGGAGAGTGAGATTCAAGTTAATATATGCGATTATGATATATTTTGCATTGACTTTAACATGTTAGTATCTATAGTAAATTTCATTTTGTGTTTAAATAATTGTTATGTTTAAGATCTAAAATTGTGAATGTCAGATCATGTAAATACCATCCTTTGTGAGGAACTGGTTGAGATTATAGAAATTGCATTGTATGGAGTCTCCAGAGAGATGGTGGGTAGTGAGAGTATCATCAACAACTTAGGGCAATGCCATTACTGACGACTGGAATTTTAGTGCATCATCTACACAATGGGTACCATACCGAATGTATGCTGTCCTGTTAACAAAACAGGTAGTGAACTCCACAAAGTTCATCATTCAGAAATCAATCCTCTATTTAAAAAATAAGACTCAAATATAAGTGAATTTAGGAAGATAATGAAGCATCTATGAGCAAAAACATATCATGATACTATCATTAGGGGAAAGGAATCATTAAAATAGCATATTCTATTTCCAAAAAAAGCGTGCTTAATGGCAGGACAAAAGTATAAAACAATATCTTTATCAATATTCACTAGTCATATACAATGTGTTAATTAAGCTTAAAGATATACCCTATCTATTTAACTGTCATATACAAATTTGGTATCTTTCAACCCAAAGTAGCTTCTGTTGTTTTCTTGTTTTGACATCTGTATTTTCTTTCCAAACACCTCATTTTTAATGTAAACTAGTGATGTCAAATTCAGATGTTGACTATTGACTTAGAAACCCACAAATTAACATTATCTAAGTTGTATTGTATTTTTTATTTATTTTATTAAACATTTCTAATACATTTTAATCTGGTTCCAGCCACATTCAGTATTGTGGGGGCCTGCAGCTATTTGATACCTCTGCTGTAAACCGTTCTGTCATTGCTTAAAAGAAAAAAAAAAGCTAAGGAAAGAATAGATTCACTCATAGGATTTTAAGTGTTTAAAAGGATGAATTGTGGGACATAATAATTGTTTAAAATAGTTGCTCCATCTTTTTCTCTGATGAAAAAAAAATTTTTCTGAGAAGGATATTATTTAGCACCTGTAGGATTATTATAAAAATTTTTGCTTTGAAGTGTATATCCTCTAATTTCATTGCTATCTAGTCCACTTACCTTTGATGCAAGTTCCCCTGGTGCTTTTTTTTCTAGAAAACCTGGAACCTCTTTAATTTCTTCAAGGTCAAAAGACCATATGTATTGTAATGTCAGTAGTAGATTCCCATAAACAACCATGAAAGGAGAACTGATCATTGCATATTTTCTTCTGTTGCGAATCATCCAAAGAGTGCAAGACCAAATCAATAGCACAAAGGTCAGCCAGCTATGATATGTAATACTCCAGGCCTCAGTGGAAAAACAAAAAATAAGGTAGATTCATAATGGTTAACAGAATTTTTAAACCCCTTCACCCTAGAAAGTTAAAATTAGGTTAAATTAAAAAAGCTTGGATTTGGTTAAATAGTATTTGAATTGAGAGTGATTGGACATTGAAGGGAGAATGTGGAGCCAAATACTAGTATTTGGTGCTCTGAAGGAGAAAGAAATAGTTGCTTTTGTATAACATGACACTCTATGTCCTTTAAACAGTTCCTGGGGACTTTTTAAAGCCTTCTTCCTTAACTCGAAATATCTCTACTTTTATCCTGTCTCAGAATATCTAGCACAAAGTATCTTATGCTCTTTTATCCTCCAATCCTGCCTTCTTCTCTCTTAAAAGATTAGAAGCCAGCCATTGTGTGTTTGTGTGTGTGTGTGTGTGTGTGTGTGTGTGTGTGTATTGGGTGATTTGACCCACATCTAGAGTTAGAGGATAAAAAAGTTTGAGAACCACTAGTATAAGACATATAAGATAGATTCAGGGTCTACCAAAAATATAGTTTTATTTCTTTTGATAGGGATTAAATACACACACAAATATACATATAAATACATTACATGCAAATATATGCATATATATGTGTGTGTTTGTGTGTGTGTGTGTGTGTGTGTTGTATGTCAGGTATCTAGTCATATGAATCCAATTACTCAAAGTCAATCCAAAGGTAAGATTCTTTTTAGTAATGTCTTGATCAGAGTCCAAATGGCATACATTTTACCATTCAATCAATCAACAAGCATTTATTAAGCACTCACTATATGTCAACAGTGTGCTAAGCCCTGAGGATAGAAGTGGGATTAGAATGTGGTTTGATTTAAGGCAAAGAGAACAATCAGGAACAATTGTAATACTCTGGGAATGAGGTGATAAGGGCCTGCAACAGGAAGGTAGTTTTTTGAGTGGAGAAAAGAGAGTGTATTCAAGAGATACTGGGAAGGCAGAAACAGTAAGATATGGTAACAGATTGGAAGGTGGAGTGAATGTGAGAGAGGAGTCAAAGATTGTATGTTGATTACAAGTCTTGGTGACTGGGAGCATGTCAGTGCCTTTGCAAGTAATAGAGAACTTAAAAAGAGGCAGCGAATTTAGAAGAAAAGACAATCAGCTTTTTTGGGTACATTGTGTTTAAGATACATAAAGGACATCCATATGGAAATGTACAATAAATAGGCAGTTGGTGATGTGAGGCTGCAGCTAGGTGGCACAGTGGATAGTGCCTGGTTTTGACTCAGGAAGACTCATCTTCTTGAGTTCAAATCCAGCCTCAGACACTAGCTTGGGCAAGCCACTTAATCCTGTTTGCCTCAGTTTCCTTAAAATAAGCTGGAGAAGGAAACCACTCCAGTATGTTTTCCAAGAAAACCCCAAATGGGGTCATGAAGAATTGGACAAGACTGAAAATGACTGAACAATAGCAAGATGTGGGACTGCAGTTAAGGAGATAAGCAAGAGCTAGAGATAGAGATCTGTGAATCATTTGCATAGAAATGTTAATTGAACCCATGGGAGCTGATAAGATCAGCAAATGAAAGTGCATTAGAGAGAAAAGAAAAGAGGGTTCAAGACAGACCATTGGAGATGGGGCAGATATCCACAGTTACTGGGTAAGATATGGATGACGATCTAGCAAAAGAGACTGAGAAATAGCAGTTAGAATAGGTAGAGGCAGAACCAAGGAAGGACAGAGTCATGAAAATCCAGTGAGAAAGGAGTATCCAGGAAGAAAAAGTATTCATCAGTATCCAATGTGGCAGAGAAGTCAAGAAGATTACATATCTAGGAGAGGCCATTAGATTTTGGAAACAAGTGATTCCTGGTAATTTTAGAGAGAACAGTCAGTTGAGTGATGTGGTCAGAAGCCAAACTGCATAGGGTTTAGAAAAAAAATGTGATGAGATGAGGTGGAGGCACCAAATGTAGACAGCTTTTTCAAGGTGTCTAACTGAGAAGAAGAGGAAAGATATATAGTCTGATAGCTACTAGGCACGGTAGGATCTACTGAGATTGTTGTTGTTTAAGGATGGGGGAGAACTTAGATGCGTTTGTGGGCAGCAACAAAAGCATGGAGGATGGTAGTGGGGCAATCTGATGGAAATTGTAAGTAGGAACAGGATCAAGAGTGCATGGAGAGGGTTGGCCATTAGCAAGAAGAACCTCATCATCAGAGATTGGAGTAAATGAGGATACAATGGGGAATGAAGTCAAAGAGATGTGAAAGAAAGAGAGAAGAGGAAGCAATTAGCAAACAGCCTCCCAAATTCCTTCCAAAGAATAAAAAAAGATTTCATTTGTTAATCGTTCTCAAAGGTGGATGCCAGTACATTTTCCAAATCAACTTATAAATATTTTCAACACTTGACTGTTCAAGAAACTGATTTATCTAAATTAGTTCCTTGTCAGTATGTCTGATAAAGGATTTTCTGGGAGAAGAGATTGAAAGTACTACCAAAGCGGTTTGGGAGTTATCTGGATTTCAATTGGCACCATAATCTTTATTCCTGATTAGATCAGGTAATCAAGAGTAGAGTGTGATTACAAAACAATTTATGAAACAATTTTCTTGCAAGTCTTCCTAAATAAAATCGGTTTGGAACAAATAAACATAGGCTTTCTACATTGCTTCCCTAAAGTATATTCTGGTTTTACGGCAATGCATTATTTATAATAGGGTTATTTAAAGCAGGTGAGCATTATAAAATAAGGGCAGCTAGGTGGCTCAGTGGATAGAGTTTGGAGCCTGGAGTCAAGAAGATTCATCCTCTTGAGTTCAAATCTGACCTCAGACTAGTTGTGTGACCCTTGGAAAGTCACTTAACTTTGTTTGCCTCAGTTTCCTCATCTGTAAAAGGAGGTGGAGAATGAGATGTCAAATCATTCCGGTATCTTTGCCAAGAAAACCCCAAACAGGGTCACAAAGAATCAGACATGAATGAAACTGAACAACAGTGTTATAAAATATCAACAAAAATTCATTTATTATTTTAAAAGTTATTGTCAACTTTCTCTACCACTACCATGAAATTTTCTCATCCTGGAAGTTCACTCTAACCCTGCAATTCCCACTGGAAGTACTACTTCTCTCTTATTGGATGTCTACTCCCAGAACTTCCATTTAATTATGGTGTTTGGGCCAGCTGTGTCTTCATTTCTCTCCAGGATACACACTAGACTTTCTTTACCACGTCCATACTAGGTAATTTCATGTCTCTTCCTCTACTTTCCAGCTTCTGTTTATTTGCTGTCCACTAGAATGTAAGTTCACTAAAGGCTGAGACTGTCTTAGTTTAGTGTTTAGAGTTTAGTGACTGGCACAGAATAAATGCTTAACAAGGGCAGCTAAGTGGCACAGTAGATAGAATGTGGAGCTTTCAGTCAGGAACTCTCATCTTCACGAGTTCAAATCCAACTCCAGGCACTTACTAGTTCTGTGACTCTGGGAAAGTCACTTAATTTTATTTGCCCCAGTTTCCTCATCTATAAAAGCAGCTGGAGAAAGAAATGGAAACCCACTCCCCTAAATGGGGTCACGAAGAGTCAGACATGACTGAAATGAATCAACAACAACAAAGTGCTTAATAAATGCTTGTTGACTCACTGACAGTCTTTGAAGGATTTTTTAAAATATCAGAAAAAGTAGGGAGATAGTGGTGGGTGTGAACAGGTTGAAATAGATAACCAATAAGGAAACTCAAAGAAAGAAGGGAGGAAAACATGCCCTCTATGAATTGAATGATAGGAAGAGAAGTTGGACCAGTTATGTGGCAGGATTGAAGGATGACAGATGGATAGTAATTGTGCTCCACTAGTACCTTCACAATATCTAGAGGGTGAAGAAGGCCTCTGGATGGTTGGATGGAACTCCTGTGAGAGAATATCAAAAGAGCTGCACAGCAGGGGCAGAGGTCCCAATCTGTATCACTGGAGGGAACTTGAGCCATTTGAGTATTTGGATATTTTCAACATCAAGTCCCCACATTTAATTTTTTCCATTTTATTATTTTTTCATCTTTAGAGTTTATAAAAATTAGATCACCTTTAATTTGGTTTATCACAATAAATAACAGTAAAAAAAAGGAAGCTATAATTCTGCCATTCTCTTGTGGGTCAGGGAGAGTTCTATCCAGTCATTCCAACTTAAACTGATTGCTATTTACTCACACACACTTACTAAGAGGGAGAGACATAGAAGTGTCAAAAATCCCCCCTCTTTAATTTTAGGGGTAAAATGTCTAAGAATCCATTAAATGTGGCAATTTGCTAAGTGTGGCAATACAATGCTTACTGTGTTCAGTTTGGGAATTTTGTGATCATTTTTGTATACTCATATTCTGGAAGTACACATAAACATATATACATCATTCTGACAGACTTGGCTCCTCTGAACTCCTATGTCTGTCCAAGAAGTCTGACAAAATAGGAATCTTCAGTGCAAAAGAGAAACTTTAAAAAAATTAACATTTTGGCTCTGTTAAAACAACAGAATGGCACCAGGCAAGACCCACACTGAATGGGCAGTCTGCTTCTCTTAAGTGTGTTTTTACAATAGACTTTTTCTGTCAAATAGCAAAATGCAAATTTTAATCTACTTATGAAAGTATTTACTTTATATAAAAATGGCCAAACTGAGCTAACTTTGAGGAAAATAATAGCTCTGTTGTGTCAAGAAATATTATGGTAAGTACCATTTTGACTGAATTAAATACTTGAGATCCAGATATTTTGCTGAAAGTGTTGATAGCATTTGGTTATCAATAAAACTATAGCAATGAATATTAAAATATAATCAAGAGTACAGAGATTGAATTTTAATTAAAGTATGTGATATTCGAATCAGAAATGAATCTTGCTTAATAGGGAGAGCAAAGAATTTTTCTTTGCATCATACTCTGAATGTAACAGTAACTAACATTTACCAGAAGAAATTGTAGCTATGTGTAGGTATTTGTTCAGTTGGCAATCTTTCTTTCAGATTTGGGAAAACTGAATTCAGTTCCTTTTGTCTGAGGCATGACATTTTTTCATTACTCCCCACTGAAAGGAATTTGTCCAAATTGCAGGAATTGACTACTTTTGTTCATTAAAACAATTTTAGGTTTAACCAGTGTGTTCAAAACTGCAGAATATTGTCCTATAGAAAGGGATGAAATTGTATCCCCTTTTCCTTTTATCTACCATCTAAGGCCACATTTTTGCGGGAATGAAAGTGGAGGGTAGAGGAGGCATATAAGTAGTACTATATACTCAATCCTCACACATATACTTCATTTTGATAATCATACTGGGGTACATAAAAGCATGGCTTTATCTGGGAACACCATTGCAACCAGCCAGATATTCCTCCCCAAAAGTGCTTACATTTCGATGCATCCTGTCATAATTTATGTAACAGCTCCTTAGTGCAATGCACCTATGTACACGCCATCATTTGGACACTGATATCTCTATGCTCTACCCTTAAAATTTTGATGCTTCTAGGATCTCACTGATGTGGTTCATCCTGTCACAACCACACACCATATGTTTTTTAACCTTATGTCATTAAAATTCACACCTACCAAAAATTTCCAGGGTCAAAGACTAGGTGAAATCTAACCTAACTTAAATATAAATGTTGGATTACATCTTCTGAAGTGAATAGGAATAGCTCATCTATTAGCAAAGAGCACCTGGAAACCCACTTGGATAAATAGCCCATTCTGCATCTGAAGATAATATAATGGGACAGTCTGGTTTCGGGAGTTAAATTGGGGGAAGTGCATTAATAATTCAAAGTTGCCTGAGTGCAGATGGACATGAGGGGATTTTATAATCTATAAAATAAAAATATGATGAAAAATTAACATGACAAGCCACCATCTTGCCAAGGTATTCGGAAGATAAATATGTTTTGCTGGAAGTACTGAAGGACAGTTTAACACCCTGGACAGACAGTACTGTGTGGACTGCTATCCTAGTTTACTTATATTAGCAGTTTGGACATACCATCATGGCAATGAGGGCACAGATGTAACTCTGTTTCATAATAAACTGGAACACAGAGACCATGGCATGTACTTTAACATTTGGCTTTTCCTCTTGGCTCCTCTTTTCTTCTTCTTCATCTTCGTCTTCTTCTTCCTCTTTCTTTTCTGTGAAGAAAAAAATATTTTTCCTCATCAATTCACAGAAGTATTTTTTAATGTTGCAGATACTCTATAAAATCTCCCCTTCCCCATGTGTATAATACACAACTGTGACTTAGATACTGTCATTCTTGCAAAACCTTTAGAAAGCATTGTTATAATTAAAGAAATATGCTATTGTCTCAACAAGTCAGAACAGAACAAATTGTGTATAGAAGGGATAGGTATATGTAAGTACTGACAGGGCAAAACCTCAGTTTGAGTGAACAGGAAGGGGGAATAACAGAGGCCTGATAAAGGAAAAGTCAGAAAAAAAATTCTTCAGAGTAAGCAATATGTCTCATACCATTGTCAATCTGAGCAAAGGAATAGAAAAGCATTCTGAAATGAATAGATCTGAGGGTAGGCCTAAAGGAAGTTGAGTGTGCATGAAGTCATGAGTAACTGGGACAGTGAAGAAAGAAAAAAGGAAGGAAGTGTTAGGCACTGTACTAAGTGCTTTTCAAATATTATCTCATTTGATCCCCATAATAACCCTGGGGAAGTACATATTATAATTGTCCTTTTCCTGTAGATGAGGAAATGGAGGCAAACAGAGGTTAAGTGACTTGACCAGAGTCACACAGCTAGTAAATGTCTGAGGCCACATTTGAACTCAGATCTTCTTCCTTCAAGTTCCAAGTAAAATCCCACCTTCTATAAGAAGCCTTTTTCTAATCCATCTTAATTCTAGTACCTCCCTTCTGAAGATTATTTCCTACTCATCCTGCATATAATCTGTATGTAATTATTTGCACGTTACCTTCCCCATTAGATTGTGAGTCCCTGAGGGCAGGGATAGTCTTTAAGCCTTTCTTTATATCATCAATGCTTAGCACAGTGCTTGGCAAGTAGTAGGCACTTAATAAATGTGTATTGCCAGCCTGCCTGACTCTAAGCCCATGGATCTATCTACTGTGCCATGTACCTGCCTCAAGAGGGAGTAACATAAGAAAAGTGTTCCTGAAGGACTCTTTTCCAAAGTTTTGGCTTAAGGGTCTCCATTTTTGTTTATTCCGTTGGTAATTATTTTGGTTTATAGATTGAGTCTGAAAAGCAGTGGATAAGTATATGCCATATTTCTCTGTTTTCCAAAGAAACACATCATTATTTTGGGGACTTCTCTATAGCATTTGACACACACGTCCACACTCGCTTCATGGATACTCTTGGTTTTTTTGTTTGCTTAATTGTTTATTTGTTTGTTTGTTTTTAAATCTCTTTCTTGATTCTCTTTCTGTCTAACTGCTTTTCAGGTTCCTTTGCTGGATTGTCAAGTATGTGATAGTGAAGGCAAAATGGTATCGTGGATAAAGTGGTGAACTGAGAGAGTCAGGAAGACCTGAGTTCCTTGACTTACTACTTATATAACCTTGAGCAAATCATTTAATCTCTCTGGGTCTCTGTTTCCTTATTTGTGAAATGAGTGGGTTAGGCCAGATGACCTCTTAAGTGTCTTAGAAGCTAAGATTCTAAGGAAATATTTATATAAGGAAATATATATATATAGAATAGTCTAGCAAGAAGTGGCTCCTATCATGTACTTTGGATCAATAAACAACTTTCTGATAAATGGAATCCTCCCACTCCCAAAGAAAAACTGTTTGAATTATAAAATTCATAGAAGAAATTATACTATTCCTATATCATTATCCACATTTTTTCCCCAAGCCTTCTGTTCTCAATCCTTCCATAGCTTTCTTCCTCCCTCTATCTCAGCCAAGGCTGTCAATTCTTACTTTACTGAGAAAATGAAGCTATTTCACCTGAACTCCCTCTCTCCTATTCTCTTTATCTCACATCCTCTTAAAATTATTCTCTAGTCTCTAATAATGAAGGATCTCATCTTCTTGACAAGGCCAACCCCTATCCATGTGCCTTGATCCTATTTTTCCATCAGATTACAACTTCAATAATTTTTTCTCTTTCTCTCTCTCTTCCTTTCTTCTCCCTGTACCTATCTCTGTGCCTCTCCTTTCCTCTTTCTCCCTCGCCTGTTTGTCTCTGTCTCTTTCTCTCTTTTGGCTCTCTCCTCCTCACCTTTTTCTTTCTAAACTCTCAATTTTCAATCTCTCCCTCTCTATTGGCTCCTTCCTTCCCTTGCTGATTGGCTTGAGAAATGCTGGACCAGTTGCTGGAATCTCTGTCTCAGAGCTAACCCCTGCTGCAGAGAGAGGAGTGCTATTGGGGCTACTGCCTTTTGACACAATCTAAAGCCTGAGAGGGGAAGTCTCTTGGAAAGTACATCTGCTGCCCTTTAAAGCCCTCTTTAATTAGAGAGGGTGAAAGAGACAAAAAAAAGCTAGGTTTTGTATGTTTTTGCTGTGAACTGAGTTTTGCTGAAAGAACAGACTTGGTGTTGACTAGACAAAGTAGATCTAAGGAGCTTGGCAAATCTCTTGATTAAAGGGACTGCTTGTCACTGAAAAGGCATAACATTTTTCTCAGCACCCTCTTGAGGGTTGCTATGGGTAAAAAGAACTTGTCAGTCACTGTTCCATAAGCTCAAGGGCAAAAGAGTAGCAGCATTACCCAGCAGGATAGCAATGAAGAACCAAAATGAGGAGTATGCCAAACCCAAACTTTGGATTACTACCACCATTAGCTACCTTTGTTCCTATTCACATGCCACTGAATGGGGATGGAGGAAGTGACAAAACTGTGCTGACTGGTTCTGCTACAAATTTCTTACATAAACTCAACTGCGACCTCACTGTAGTAAGATGATCCTTTTACACCTGTCAAATCAATGTGCTCTCCTAGGAACTCAACATAGCAGATATTAAAAACCTTTATATCACTCCTCAAGATTACAAGGAATTCCCCCCCTTCATCTCAGCTGAAAACTATACCTCATTTCACAGAGGTTGATGAAAACATTTCCCCAGATGTCACTTAGCACTTTGTTTTGTACTTTTTTTATTTCTATCTGTGTTGGTATTACAACCTTCTCCTAGACAATGAGCTCCTTGAGGGAAGGGGTACTGTCTCATCTAAATTTTGTATCTCCCTAATGAGTGACCAATATTTACTTTTTGCCTTTTGACTTTTATTTTCAATGTTCATTGAAATCATGATTATGCCACTAATTATGTCTATAGGGACATAAGGGACTATGTGATGAGTTTCAGTATATTAAGAACTCCTTTAAGGGGATTTATGTGTGAAAAGATCTGAAAACACAATAGACTCTGTTATAAATTCATCAGAAACTTTACTGTATGATGAAATTATATTATAAAGTAGCAATCACCAAAACTACTTGGTACTGGCTAAGAAATAAAGTGGTAGATCAGTGGAGTAGGTTAGGTACACGAGACACAGTAGTCAATGACAATAGCAATCTACAGTCTGATAAGCCCAAAGACCCCAGATTCTGGGATAAGAATTCATCGTTTCACAAAAACTGCTGGGAAAACTGAAAAAAATAGTATGGCAGAAACTAGGCATAGACCAACATCTTACACCATATACCAAAATAAAGTCAAAATGGTTACACAGTTTAGATACAAAGCAAACCAGGAGAGCAAGGAATAGTTTACCTGTTAGATTTATGGAGAAGGGAAGAATTTATGATCAAACAAGAGATAGAGACCATTATGAAATGCAAAATGGATAATGTTGATTACATTAAATTGAAAAGTTTTTTTCACAAAGAAAGGCAATATTAGGAGGAAAGCAGAAAACTGGGAAAGAATTTTTACAACCAGTGTCTCTGATAAAGGCCTTATTTCTAAAATATATAGAGAACTAAGTCAAATTTATAAGAATATAAGTCATTCCCCAGTTGAGAAATGGTCAAAGAATATGGACAGGTAGTTTTCAGATAAAGAAATTAAAGTTACCTATAGTCATATGAAAAAAAGCTCTAAATCACTATTATTTAGAGAAATGCAAATCAAAACAACTCTGAGGTATCACATCACAACTATCAGATTGACTAACATGAAAAAACAGGAAAATGATAAATGTTGGAGAGGATGTGGGAAAATTGGAACACTAATGCATTGTTGGCGGAGTTGTGAACCGATCTAACCATTTTGGAGAGCAATTTGGAACTATGCCCAAAAGGCTATAAAAATGTGCATACCCTTTGACCCAGCAATAGCACTTCTAGGGCTGTACCCCAAAGAGATCATAAAAATAGGAAAAGGACTCACATGTACAAAAATATTTTTGGCAGCTCTTTCTGTGGTGGCAAAGAATTGGAAATTGAGGTGATGCCCATCAGTTGGGGAATGGCTGAACAAGTTGTGGTATATGAATGTAATGGAATATTATTGTGCTATAAGAAATGATGAGCAGGTGGAATTCAGAAAAACCTGGAAAGATTTGTGAGTACTGATGTTGAGTGAAGTGGGCAGAACCAGGAGAACATTGTACACAGTAACAAGCCACATTATGCGATGACTAACTTTGATAAAGCTTACCTCTTCTCAGCAGTACAAGGATCTAAGACATCTCCAAAAGACTCATGATGGAAAATGCTATCCACATCCAGAGAAAGAACTATGGAGTCTGAACGCAGATCGAAGCATACTATTTACTCTTTATTTTTCTTCTGTTTTGTTTTGTTTATTCTTTCTCATGGTTCCTCCTATTGGTTCTAATTCTTCTTTACAACATGACTAATATGAAAATATATTTAATAGGAATGTATATGTAGAGCCTATATTAGACTGCATGCCATCTTGAGGAGGGTGGAGAAGAGGGAGGGGACAAAAGTTTAAAACTCAAAAGCTTATGGAAATGAATGTTGAAAACTAAAAATAAAAAAATAAAACTACTAACTTGTGTTACTAATCTGTGTATAACCCATATATGTGCAATGGAAGGAATATGAATCTTATGTAATTGTGTGTCTTTTTAAAAAAAGAGCACTTGTTACAATAGTGTTGTTGTAAGACCACTGTCTACCAGAATTCCTTCACCATCACCCCCAAACCTCCCAAACATGGTTTAGGTTAGTTTTTCCCTGAAAGGCAACAAAGTTGGCTTTGAGATTTGATTGGTGTAGGACCCAAGCTATTGTTAAGCCCTTGCTTCAAGTCCCGGTAGAGTCTGGTTGTATTGATGTCTCTTCCAGCTCATCTAAGGGCATAAAGGACCCATCCATATGAGTGGGAGCCATTCTGACCTGGCAGATGTCCCAAGAGCATAAGAATCTCCATACTCTGCCCTGCTGACCAGATGAGCTTCCATATGAAAACTGGGAGGGGCTGGCTAAATACTGGAGAATCCACATTGAATATCCTTTCAATTCTATGGCTAAATAAACCTACTTTGGTTAAAAAATTACTGAGTGAGTTTATTTTCTTAAAAAAAATACTACCAGTCTTCTTAAAGGATAACTTGAAGCAGAAAATAAAACATAGAATGCTCCATATCAAGCTAGAGTCGTGATTCATTACCTGATGTTTCATCAGATGGCTCCCATTTGTATTGTGGTGTAGAATACATGTCAGCTTTGGCTGGCCCATTCTCGATGGGCAGGCTAGGGTGTATGGTGTGGTAATCAACAGGAGCACCATTCACAGTGACCAACAGGACCTGTTAAATGTGATTTGAACAAGGGAATATCATTTACTACCATATATTTTCTTACTTATGATTGAACTTCAGAACATCAGACATTTAAAGGGTAGATCAAAAACTCAGTTAATGTTTCAGATTTCTAAGTGCATATAGAAATATCTGGATATTTTGAAATTAGACACATTTAAAGAAATCCATCATTTTCTGATGGGAGTTAGAGTTGCATAAATGGTCTAATTTTTTTTCTTAAAGAAAATTTAAATATACTAAACTAGCAGTTTAACTTAGGCTTGAGAAAAAAATTTAAGTAAAGATTTTAGGTCTTTTATAACTTTGTTATTATTTACTTGCCTCTTTTTTTCTGGTATATACAGAAAGAAGGATCAGTGTTCTCAGTGTTTTCCAGTTTCAGCATGTGTCTTAATTCTTTTTGGTATTTTAAAAAAAATGCAATATGATAGAAAAATAAGCTTGACTTTTTTTACATTTGAGTTTTCATTCCAACAACTGAATGTTAATTCAACCAAAAACAAGTGGAAATAAGATCACAGAAATGAGGAGCATAAATGCCTCAAAAGAAAATCAAAATAATTCAGTGATCTGAAAACTTCTGCCACGCCAAAAAAAATTCTAAGAACTGGTAAGCATATGGTCTGACTTCTTGGCACTTTTATGTCAGGATATTCCCATGCTGCCATTGGAGAGTACCTTTCCATTGTCAACAGTGATCTTTTCTTAAATCCACAGTTGCATGCCAGTGCAACAGAATTTTCAGGATCTACCTTATACAGCTTTTTATAATTTTCAGATATACCATGGAGGTATCACTGCAAATGGGAATATTCATAATTCACATCAAAGAAAAACAAAACCATAATAAAAGTTCCTCTTACAAGAACAGAAGCAATTTTGTGATGTGAATTACTTTTATTCCATATTTATCATTGAATATTTTTTTGTGTGTGAGGCAATTGGGGTTAAGTGACTTGCCCAGAGTCACCCAGCTAGTAAGTGTTATGTGTCTGAGGCCGAATTTGAACTCGGGTCTTCCTGACTCCAGGGCCAGTACTGTATCCACTGTGCCACCTAGCTGCCCTCATTGAATATGTTTTAACAACAGTCAACCGTCTTCTGCTGGCAAAATGATTCTTAGATTTTTGAATACAATATCATTTTAACATGAAAATTAGATAAATTCAAACTCATTCCTTTATTTACACATACACAAATGACAAATCTAACATACTAACATCAGATGGTTTGTAGTCATCTTGGGTCATGGACAACAGCTGAAAAAAGCAATGTAGGAGAGCATATTAATAAAGCATGGCTAAATAAATTAATATTTCTGCATCTATACAATTTAATATATACATGCACAATTTTCTCAACCATTCCTGAATATTGTCTTATTAAGAACTACCATGCAGATTACTAAAGAGAAAAAAGAATTGTACATTAGATCATTTATAACTACTACACAGCTCCAAATGTTAGCAATAAGTCTCAAGTACAAACTAGCAGTTATTTGTCATTCATGTGAATTATATAAAGTGGTTACATAGAACACAGGGGCTTTGTTTCATGGAACATAAATACAAAATAGAACATGTTAGAAATTTGTAAATTCTTGTCAGATTGGGGGAGAAAGGGTAGTAGTAAAAGGTATTGTGAAAAGAAGAGAAAAGTGGGAGAAAGAACTGGTATATTAGTTATGGTATCTTAATTTTTTAGACATAATTTTTGCTAAACACAGCTTAGTATATCTCAGGTTAAAGAAAGTCACCTTATCCTGGAGACTAGACTAGAGGATATTGAGTTTATTAGAAAAGGGTGTCCTCAGGGTTTTGATCAGAATATCCAAAAGATGTTACTGGGTTGATATTAAGAGATCAAGGGTTTCTTCTGGGCATCCTCATTGTTTTTCATGTTTTCAGACAAATAGATTTGTAAGACTTCAAAATACACACAAATACTTTCCTAACAATTTCCATTAAATGACCACTTTTAATCTAGATTAGTTCTCAGTTGCTATCTGCAAAATAGGCTTTGCATACTAATCACTGCATCAGGTGCATAATTTTGTACACTAAGTTTCCTTCCACATGTCTCCAGGGTCAGTCTGGTATAAGAGTGCCCACCATACCTATGTTATATTTATCAGTTAGTGAAAGCTTGTAATCTAAACCATTTGTAAAAAGACAGAAGGGCATGAACACTATGGGAGAGTAGAAGAAAATAGAAAAATTCAACTCTTCTTTATCTCTAAATAACAACCTAATTAAAATACAACTAACTGCCCCTTGAAAAGCTGAGGATCTGATCCAGATCCCCTGGGGGATGAAAGTGAAAGGGCTGCCAATCCCAAATCGTCCCCTTCTTTCTTCCTGGGAAAAAGCCAAATATATATTCTATATTCAGATGAAGTCCTGATGCCCATCAGATTGGCAAGGATGACAAAAACTAAAATGACTAATGTTAGAAGGCCTATGGGAAAACAGGCACATTAATGCATTTTTGGTGGACCTGTGCATGGGTCCAGCCATTCTGAAAAACAATCTGTAATTATGTACAAAGAGTTACTAAACAGTTCACATCCTTTGATTCCGTTTTATCATTCTAGGCTCATATTGCAAAGAAATTTCAGACAGACAGAGAGAGATAGAGAGAGGGAGAGAGAGAGACAGAGAGACAGAGAGACAGAGAGAGACAGAGACAGAGAGAAGAGACAGAGAGATAGAGAGAAAGAGAGAGAGACAAAGAGACAGAGACAGAGAGACACAGAGAGACAGAGAGATAGAGAGGGAGAGAGAGACAGAGAGACAGAGAGACAGAGAGAGACAGAGACAGAGAGAAGAGAGAGACAGAGAGAGATAGAGAGAAAGAGAGATCCTATATGTACAAAAATATTTACAGCAGCTCTTTTTGTAGTGGCAGAGGACTGGGAACTAAGGGTCTGCACATCAACTGGGGAATGGTCGAATAAATTGTGGTATATGAATGTAATGGAATACTATTGCAATGTGAGAAATGAGGGAAAAGATCATTTTAGAGAGTTGAATAAACTGATATAAAGTGAAGTAAGCAGAACTAGGAGAATAATTTATACCATGGAATCAATATTACAAAAACAAACAATTTTGAAAGATTTAAAAGCTCTGATCAACTGACTGATCAACCATGATTCCAGATATCTGATAAGGAAGAATTCTGCCCAACTCATAACAGTGAAATCATAGACTAATTAAACAGAAAAATGCATTTTTTAGGAATATGTTTTGCTTGTTTGTGCTTCTGTAATATAGAGGCTCTGTATTTCTTTCTTTTTTTCTTATTAGGTAGGGAGAATTGAGAGGGAGAAAAAAATAAATGCTTTATAATTGAAAAAAATAAAATAATTTTTAAAATTTAAAATTAAAAGACAGGGAAATGGCTTCCATGAAAACATTGGTGAATATTTTAAATCGGCTTGTTTGTTTGACACATTCAGTTGGGCTCCCTAAATAATTCTAATTTCTTGCTCCACTTTGGATAAATATTTGATAGTCATTTGAATGGAGAATTTGTCTTTTCAAGAAATACATATCCAAAACAAGCAGGAAAAAATATTTTTTCTTAATTTCAAAACTTCTTGGGAAATAAATTTTGGCCTAAACAAACAAAGAATTATAACAACCACTTACAACATGGATGATTTCGTAATGGTTTGATGTATTAACATGCATCATTTTGAGGAACAAAGAAATTGTTTTAGCTGATTCTCCTGAATATGTGTACACCATATAGCTTTATTATATTTTTACATAATTTTCTAAATGAGGCTTCCTGAGTTCTAAATTACAGTTTTATTTAGATAAGTTTTGTGACAGTTCATTTAATTTATAGGATCAAATGAGTTAGTATAAAACTTTCATTTAAAAGATGAATTAAGACTCAGAGAATTTAAGTAAGTGACTTGCCCATGCTCATAGACATAATAAACAGCAGAGCCAGAATTTGAATCCAGTCATCTAACTCCAAGTGTTGGGCTTTTGCCAGTTGTTTGCTATTTAATTGGCAAAAAATAACTGGCCTTTCATACTGAAGCACATCTTTCTTTATTTACCTGGACACAATCTGCCTTTTCTCTCTAGAGGAACAAATTTTTACCACTTCTCAAAGCACAGATCAGTGTGTGTAAATAAATATAAATTTTCCATAAAGAATGTGTTATAACTTTATTCTTTTATTACTTCTTTTATAATTTTTCACCTACAGAACTGTAGGTTTTGCCTGCTCAGTAAAGAAGTCAACCTATTTCCTGAAAATTTATTCCACTAGTCAAGACTAAATGATTTCTTTACATTTTCTCTTGAAGATGATAAGATACCAATGTCTTAAACCACACTTGCTGTGTCCAATAAATTAATGAAATACAAAGTGGTATTTGGGAAAGAATAATGGGTTTAGGGTCATAGAAGACATGGGGAAGTCAAATAGCTTCTTTGAGCTTCATTTTAATTAGTTGTAAGAAAATAAAAGACCATTGGACAAGATGATCTCTAAGGTCCTTTCCAGTTCTAATATAGGATCCTATATGTTGACATAGAGTTGGTATTGTTAGTAAATGGTGGTGTGGAGCTATCACAATTTTGATTTGTTCTTTGGTTCTAGAGTTAGAAACCTAACTCTCTCACTTCTTTCCTTGGGAGACCTTTAACATTCATTTTGATAATTATAAAGAAGATAATAATTACATTTGTTTCTATATCAAAGCCTTTATGGTTGAGTCAGTTGGGCTCCTGTGTCATTATACCTGTGTTAGGACCACTACTCAGATTCAACAAGAAAATACCTGAAAAAGAGGCAAAATAAAGGTGGGAAATGGCAGTTGCTTTCTCCAAGCCTTACTTTTCTCTCATCAGTTGGGTAGTGGGTTGCATACCACAAACTTCGCCTTCTTTCTGCAGTGATTTGCACGGGACTGCAAGACATATCTTTATCTTCATCATTGGTTTCATCATCCTGAACCTAAAACACAGAAAAAATCATAAGAGTAATCTATACTTACCAATATATCTCCAGAAGTGGTCTCCCTGAGATACTCTATAGCTTCCTTTCTTTACCTTTCATTATTGTGACTCATCTTTCGTGTATATGTAAGAAATCAAGTTTTGACATTCTTGAAAATGATGACAGTTTTCCACTGCCATTTCTAAGTACATCAGCACTGAAACATTTTGTAAGCACTACTGGGTTCCATACTTCACTGTTAGTGTAGTTTAAGGATCATAGCTGCAGTATCTCAAGGTATACTGAAGCCTATAGTGGAAAGCAAATTTTCAGGTATTTAGAACAAGAATACTTTTTAAAAAAAGATATCCATTAGCTTCTTTAATTTGTCTTCTTGTCCTCCTAAACTTTAAGTAAATGAATCAAAAGGTTCAACCATGTGGGGCTCATTTAGCATGAAATGCATATTTTGAAGCCAATGGACAGAAATGTTGATCCTCATTTGTCTCGATGTGACAACTGGATTCAAACTTTTTCCACCTAATGAAACTGGTACATAAGAAGAGAATATCCAGTGCCCTCCCTCCCTTGATTCTTTTCTATTTCTGGTCCATCTAGAATAGTTTTTAATGTGACTCAAGAATGTCAATAACAATTCTCCTCCAAAAAAAATCAGCTTTTAACAATCATTATGTATTATGAAGGTATAATTGTTAATGTCCATTAGAGATAATGCAGTGAATTTCCCCTCACTCTCTCATTCCCTTCTATGGACTGGAGAAAACATAAGAACCCTACTTCTCAGGAGGACTGGGATCATGGGAACATGAGAAAATAGCACAGAGTATTTACCTTTATTGTACCAATTACTGTTGACATCAATTGGCAAAATGGGTACAAAATAAGTGTTAAGAAAGCACTGATGATTGATGTCTGCTCTTTGGTCACCTTTGTGACAAATGAGAAGTGTGTGTTTCGGGTGATCTTGATGCCATAAGAGAGATGACATTCCTCTTACTTCTTAAATAAGTAAAGCTAGAAAGTTATGTATGATGGATAGACTATGGATTGGTGAAAAAGAAAAAGAGCTCAGCACAGTACTGCTTATGGGAATTGAATTTCTGGTGTGTTGCCCTTGGTAACAGACAGTAGCCTAGCAATATTGACTTTTTGGGAAAAAATGAACACTGCAGAAAAGTTTCCTGTGCATGTTAAAATACTTCTCCGTGATTGTATCCCCATGTATCTTAGTTCCTGAATGGTCCCTTTGCAAATATAAGACATTGAAGTGCAGAAAGTTGAAAAGCTCAGAACCCCAAACCAAGCAATATGTTTTTAGAGAAGAGTCTGCCCTTATCCCAATATAGCCCTACAAATGATGAAGGGAAGTCAAAAGCTTGGGTGGGAATGAATATACTAGCAACATCCTTAGGGATGTAATAGCTAAGAAGGGACAAGGGGGAAATATGACATTTGGAAAGTACTAGACATTCCTTATCCTGATGCAGGTACGGTTCAGTGGAGCTAGAGACAACTTGCATCTAATTGATGAGGGAACATGTATCCCAGATATATAGTTTTAGCTTTTTGCCATTACAACTTCAAGGTGGTTTTTTTGACTGTTTTTGTTTTGTTTTGTTTTTTAAATTCTGATTGCTAACTTTAAAAATAGAAAAGAGAAAAATATTACAATTGAAAAAGGCAAGTAAACAATGACAGCTGCAGTTTTGGGACTTAAAATACTAGCCCATAATTACTGTTTGCGGTGGAAACAAACTATTATAGGTCTTTCACTGATTGAAAACTCTTATATCTGCCCCCTTCTCTCCATTCAAACAGTCAATCAATCAGCAAGTTTTTTGTTAAACACCAACTATATACCAGGGACTATACTAGGTACTGGGGATACAAGTACAAAGAATGATTCACTACCTGGTTTTAAGGCCACACTATCAACTGGATTATTTCAACATACTTGTATTCATTTTGTATTATGTACAAGCTCTGTCTCTCAATACAATGCAAACCCCTTGACAGCAGGGACTATTTCATTTTTATCTTTGTATCCCTAAGACCCAATCCATTGCCTTGAATATAGTTAGCACTTACTAAATGCTTGTTGATTGATTGACTCATAACTAATTTTCCTTCTTCTAATCTTTCTTCCTTATTCAATCTATCCTCTACATAGCTGATAAGTTAAAATTTTAAATCACAGATTTGACGATGGCATCTCTATCATAAAACATAAACTTAGCTCACCGTTTAAAGACCTCTATAACCAGGCCAACAACTATCCTTCCAGATTTATTTCTTTTTTGTTTGTTTGTTTTTGTTTTTGTTTTTTGGCATTTGGCGTTAAGTAATTTGCCCAGGGTCACACAGCTAGTATCAAGTGTTTGGTCTGAGGCTGGATTTGAACTCAGGTCCTCCTGACTTCAGGGCAGGTGCTCTATCCACTGTACCACCTAGCTGCCCCAAAACCTTTTTTTAATTCTTTTATTTTTTTGGCTAGGCAATGGGGTTAAGTGACTTGCCCAGGGTCATACAGCTAGTAAGTGTTATGTGTCTGAGGCTGGATTTGAACTCAGGTCCTCCTGAATCCAGGACTAGTGCTCTATCCACTGCACCACCTAGCTGTCCCAGATTTATTTCTAATCATTCCTCTTTTTGCATTCTACATTCCAACCAAAGTGTCCTATTAGCTATTCCTTAAACTGACATTCCATCTGCCACCTCTGCGTTTTTGCAAAGACTGTCACACATCCTTGGAATGCACCCTTATGTCTATCACTTACCACACTTCGGCTTCCTTTAAGTCTCATCTTGGGTACTATCTCCTATAGCAGACCTTTAATGAACACTGTGGCCTCCCTGCCCCCACCCCAGGTTATTAGTCTTCTATTTCTGCATTGATGCATATTTACTTAAATCATTATGTTTTATGGCTGTAGTAGAATTTGTGCTCATTGAGGTGATTTCCATACCTAAAGTGGCAATACTCACAGTATCAAACAGCTTTTTAAGAAACTGCTTTTAGAGATGCCATCTTCCCATCTAGTTGGTATGAAGGGAGAAGGATAGGGGCTGTCTCATTTTTGCCTTTGTATCCCCCAAATCATGTACACAATAGATACACAATAAGCATTTGTTGAACTGCATTAGTGAGTAACACAGATTCTCTCTGAAAGGGACTGACAGTTCCCTATCAAAGATACTTTTCAGACAAGACCATGAAAAATCTTTTTACTCTTACAATGGGTTCTTGTAGCCAGAGTCGAATCAGAGTTGCCAGAGTATAGTATGTCACCAGCAATAGGATGGGGTTGGCATGATGATACCAGGACAACTTTGGGTGTACTATGATCTTCCAAGTGCTTGAACAGTTTGTTTGGATTACTGATGTGATGCCAAATAACCTGTTTAAAATAAATTAAAGAAAAAACATGTGTAAAAAGAAAAGAAATACTTTGCAATATTATAATAGTGTGTTTAGGGTGAAGCAGTTAGGAGGGCCTAATTGGGAATAATGGGCAGAAGTTGCAAAGAGGAAAACATAAAACTTATAAAAGAGAAAAATACTCAAAACTTCTTAGTATTTAGTGTCATCCAAAAGTATGATGGGATACTTTTCAATGTAGTGGGCTGCTCTTCACTTGAGATTTTTAAGCAAAAAACTAGATGACCACTTGTCAGGTATATTATAAAGGGAACTCTTTTTAGCTACAAATTGAACTAGGTGATCTCTGAGGTTCCATTGAAATCTGAAATTCTATGATTCTGCGAACATTATAACCATCAAATAAGCATTGTTAAAATGTTGCACACCCACATGCTACCCGAGACCCTTCTCTAGATATGAAAAATCAGAGTTAATACAGTTCAACATGTTAGCTATAAATATTATTAAACCATAGTTGTCATCATTGCTCCAACTTTATTGCATGCTTTGTGGTCTCTGACTGAATTAACCATGACCTTAGATAGATACTCATGCTACCCATGGATATCCCTATTTATAACCAGTGTAACAAAAGCGGGGGAAAGACCAGAATCAGATCACTCTGGGCACCACAGCTATATTCTGCTTCTGAGTCTCATTGGCCTTTATTTCTGTTCTCACTCCTCTCATTCTCACCATACTTCCTCACTACTAGTTAAAGGTGGGTTGAATCTAAGACATCTCAACAACCTTCACATTATGTGATTCTTTTAAATATTCCCTCAGCAAAAATGTGTTTCAATCAGCTGCCATTTGACCTAGTTCTCTTTCAAAGCTCAGGTGCTATCAGAAGCATTATAGCATAATTTTCCAGACACAGTACAAAGCAGCACTTCTACTCTCTTTAATTGCTACACCATGAAGTGAACCTATTTTAATTCATCTATTCTTTATACACTAAAAAGAGGAAACTTATGTTTAATATATATGCACAAGTATCTAAAAAAATAAAAATCTCAAATCACATAGTTTTGTTAAATGAATCTTAAAGAGCACTTTTTATCTACTACGTAGAAAATGCTATGTCAGGTGTTCAGAATATAATGACAAAATCAAAACCTTTCCTGCTCTCTAGGATCCCACATTCTACAATATGGACAATAAATACCAAATATATAAAATGTCTATACAATGCAATTTTTGGAATGTTGGGCTAGGATCACCCATTGAAAAGGCCTATTAAATAAACAAAATGAACAGAGGTTCATTGCAGGACTAGTATTTATTAGTGAATTAATCAACAAATATTGACATTAACCAGAATTTGTACTTTAACTAGACCATGCTTATTGTTATCTTTATTATCATTATTTCTTTTAAAAATCAAATTGGCATATAGATAGATAGATAGATAGAGGGCACAGGGTGAGTTAAAGATGAAGAGGTAATATCTAAAACATAAAATTAAGGGGTGAGAGGATTGGACTGGGAGAAGTAGAATGGGGTAAATTATCTCACATAATACAGGCAAGAAAAAGCTTTTACAGTGGAGGGAAAGTGGGGGAAGGTGAGAGGGAAGGAGTGAATCATATTCTCATCGGATTTGGTAACATACACGCTCAATTGGGTATGGAAATCTGTCTTTCCCTACAGGAAAATGGGGGGGGGGGAAGGGGATAATAGAAAGGAGGGCAGATTGGGGGAGGGGGTAATCAGAAGCAAACACTTCTGAGGAGGGACAGAGTCAAAAGAGAGAATAGAATCAACCTGGTGACGGGGTAGGATGAAGGTAAATATAGTTAGTTTTTCACAACATGACTACTATGGAAGTGTTTTGCATGACTACACATGTATAACCTGTATTGAGTTGCTTGCCTTCTTAATGAGGGTGGGTAGGGAGGGAGGAAGGGGGAGACTTTGGAACCCAAAGTTTTAAAAATAAATGTTAAAAATTGTTTTTACATGCAAAAAAAATCAAATTAGCTCATGGCTTATCTATTTCATTGACTTAAAAAGCAGTTTTTAGTTTTATTTATTAATTCAATAGGTTATTTGTAGTTTTGTTAATTTTCCTTTCGTTTTCAGAATTTCTATTTTGATATTTAGCTAACGGTTTTTAACTTGCTAGTTTTCTATTATTTTTTGTTCCATGCCTAATTTGTTGATCTGCTCTTTTTATATTTATTGATATAAGTGTTTAGAGACAGAAAATTTCCCCAAAGTATTTTGGCTGCATTTTACAAGTTGTGGTATTAATGACATTATAGGTAGTTTTTACAACTTGTTCTTTGACTCATCCATTCTTTAGGATTATTTAGTTTCTAATTAATTTTAATCTATGATTTAAAGTTTCTTTAGTGAATATAATTTCGTTGCATTACAGTAGAGAAAGAAGCATTAACATCTTGCTTTTCTATATTTTTGAGGTTTTTATGCCCTAATACACAGTTAATTTGTGTGAAGGTGCCTTAAATAGCTGAGAAAAAGGCACACTCCTTTCTATCCCTATTTAATATTCTGCAGAGCTCTATTACACATAACTTTTTCTAAAATTCTATTCCTTTCTTTAACTTCTTTCTTTTTTTTATTTTAAGGTTAGGTTTGTCTAGGTTTGAGAGGGGAGAAAATTGAGGTTCCCAACTATTACTGTTTTACTATTTATTTCCTCCTGTAATTCATTTAACTTTTCCCTTAAGAATTTAGATGCTATGCCATTTAGTGCATGTGGATTCAGTATTGATATTAATTCATTATCTATGATACATTTTAGCAAAGTGTGATTTCCTTGTTTACCTCTTTTAATTTGGTCTATTTTTGCTTTTGTTTTGTCTGAGATCATGATTGCTACCCCTGCCCTTTTTACTTTAGCTGAAGCATAATAAATTCTTCTCCAGCCTCTTATTTGAAATCTATATGTAGGGGCAGCTAGGTGGTACCCCTTTAGAGTCAGGAGGACCTGAGTTCAAATCCAGCCTCAAATACTTGACACTTACTAGCTGTGTGACCCTGGGCAAATCACTTAACTCTGATTGCCTCACCAAAAAGCAAAATAAAAATCTTTATGTATATTTTCTGTTTCAAGTATGTTTCTTTTAAACAGCATATTATTGTATTCTGGGTCTAACCCAGTCAACTATCCTCTTCTATTTTTATAGGTGAGTTCATACCATTCACATTGATAGTTATGATTGCTAACTGTATTTTCCTCCATTTTATTATCTTATCTTTTTCCTTCTGGTTCCCCCCTGTACCCTCTTTAAGAATCTGTTTTGCTTCTGACTACTGTCCCTCTTAGTCTGCTATTTTTTCCCCTTACCTCTTTCCCTCCAATTCTCTTTTGGATAATATGAATTTATGAACCTAGTTATGTGTGTATGGTGAATTCATAACCAATGAAGAAAAGATATTATTAGGCACCATTTAATCCTATTTATTATATTTATAAATTTGTTAACATTTAATATTAATAAAACATATACATTGATCAGATTGACAAAAAAAGAAAGAATATCGATATAACCATGCTAGAAAAAACTATGTTTGAATAAGCCATAAGTCAACTCCTAAAGAAAATAAAAGAGGACTAGATGGATTTACAGGTGAATTCTACCAAACATTTATGAAACAATTTGTTCCAAATAGGAAAAATAAGAATCCTATAGAATTCTTTCTATGATTCAAATATGGCATTAACACCTAAATTTATAAATATAAATTTAGTCAAAACAGAGAAACAAAAGTATTGACCAAGATCACTAATTAATATTAGTGGGAAAAGCCTAAATAAAACACTATAAAGAGACTATAGTAACATAGCACAAGAATGATACACTACGATCAGTCTAGATTTATCCCAGGAATGCAGGACAAGTTCAATATTAGGAAAATTATGAGTGCTATTGACCACATTAATAACAAAACAATAAATTCTATGATTACATCATCAGGCAGGCTTTTTTTTACAAGAGACAGCATGCATTCATATTAATATCACTAGAAAGCAAAAGAATAAACAAGGTTTAACATAATAAGTAGTATCTATCTAAACCCTAGAACCATTATAATCTAAAATGGGGATAAACCAGAAGTCTTTCCAATACAATTGAGACTAAAACAAAGTTTGTATTATCACTATTACTATTCAAAGGCAGTGAGACAAGAAAAAAACAAAAGAATAAGTATAGACAAAGAGGAAAGGGGAAATAAAATGATCACTTTATGCAGATGATATGAGATTTCCTTAGAGAACCCTATAGAATCAACTAAAAAATTAATTGAAATAATTAACATTTTCAGCAAAGTTAAAGGATATAAAATAAACCCATATAAATTATCAGTATTTTTGTGAGTTGCTATCAAAGTCCAGAAGGAAGAGATAAAAAGAGAAATCCCATTTAAAATTACTACAGGGAGTATAAAATGCTTGGGATGCTACCTGCCAAGATACAAACAAGAATTATATGAATACAAATACAAAGAAATTTACACAAATAAGGGCAATTTAAATAATTCAAGAAATATTACTTGTTCTTGGGTGAGCCAATATAATAAAAATGACAAAACTGCCTAAATATATTTGTATATTCAATACCATACTTATTAAATGACCAAAAGATTTCTTTATAAAACTACTAAAAATAATAACAAAATTCACCTGGAGGAATGAGAGGTCTACATTATCAAGAGAATTAAAGGGAAAAAAGCAGAGAAGGGCCTAGAAGTATCAGATCTCAAATTACACTACAAAGCCATAATTATCAAAACAATTTCATAGTGGGTAAGAAATGGAGAGGCTGATATGTGGAACAAGATTGGGTATATAATATACAAAAAACAAATGAGCACAGCAGCCTAGTGTTTGATAAACCTAGTTGTGGCAAGAACTTACTATTCAACAAAAACTATTGAGAAAGCTATACAGTAGTTAGGCAAAAACTAAATATAGACCAACATCTTTAAACTGAATACCACTATGAA